ATAAAATAAATTTCTTTTAATCTTGTGATCTCAAAGAATTTTTTTTTTATCTTTAAGTAATTTTTTAAGGACTTGTTTTTGATATTCATAGCACGTAGATGTAAGGTGTATATAATAGATAGGTTATATTTTTTACATATTTGTATATGTAATATATATAAAATTTTGTATATAATTAATTTATGTCAATAATTAATTAACTATATTCAAATGTCAAAATGTAAATAAATCTCCCATGAAACTAAAAAACAAATATAATTTCTTTTTAATAAGTGATATTAGAAAGGTAACCCCACCTGCGCAATCGGTGTACGCTAGCGGGACTCCAGTGAGGGATGATAGGTGAGGATGAAATCAGGTCGAGATGAATTCTACAAAAAATTAACTACGATGATTTCAAGGGGCAACCGCATGGAGGTCGTTCTGTTAGGATAGCAATGGAGCTGTTTTTTTAATGGATGGTAATAGAATGTTTACCCTACTTGCGCTATCGGTATGTACTGGCGGGGTATCAGTGAGGGATGATAGATGATAATGAAGCAGGTTAGTTGGTTCATCGTGGCGAATTAAACAATAAACCAATCTTAATGGTTTTTTTAATGGGTGAAAATGGAATGGTAACCCCGTCTGTGCTATCGTTATACGCTGGCGGGGCATCAGCGAGAGGTGATAAGTGAGGGTGAAAGCATGTCAGTTAGCCCATCGTGAAAAAATCCGTGAGAATTAACAACGATGGTTTCCAGGAACCGCATGGAGGTCGATCTAATAGGGTACATTACTGTTAAATATCATTACTAACAATCCCTGTCCCCCCAATCTCAATGATTTCCAAGAGGAACCGCATGAAGGTCGACCTGATATCTCTATATATCCTATATTGCTAGCAATGGAATTGCTAATCTTCATTACTGACAATTCCTTCTCTCCGCCCAATAAAGCTGTTAGACCCCATTACTAATAACAACTGCCCCACCCCCATTTGTATAAATGAATCACTTCAGAAACGACTGTACATATTTGTAATATTTTCTTTGTAGCATTTTTAATTGTCAGGACAAGGTGGAAAAGGGAGGAATATTTGGGTTAAAAGCTTAAAAAATCCTCATATAAATTAAGTTAAGGTATAATAAGTTAATTAAGATGTACAACAGGCGAGTTAAGCTCGCTTGTACATCTTTATTTTATATATATATTATATGTTGTAATTTTTTTTGTGTACAATAAAGAATAAATAAATAAAAAATAAATATTTTCCTCCAAATTTTTTTCGCAAATTTAAGTAATATATCTGTATTCGAAATTTTGGAACAATTAAATTTCATTTGGAAAACTATTTTTTATTTTAAGGGATTCCACATTGACCTTATACAAATTTCATTAAAATCAATGCAGTTCGTTGGTTTTTAAATGAAAATAACTTATTTATAGTTGTGATTTTGCATTTAAATTGGTATTTTTTTTTTACTGATACAAAATGCTTTTATAAAAATCTGGTTGGTTATAGGTATTGTCATACTACCATAAAATTGGTAATAGATGTATGAACTCATTTTGACGGAAAACTGTGAGTATCGTCTAAAGTGGAGGCTAATATTGATTTTGGCATATTATTATTTAGTCTCCAATACTAATATGTAATGGATACATGAATTGTTTGCAGAATTAATAATCTTATACCTGACAAAATTTTATAATCATTTTAAGATAAAACATATCGAATAAGTTAATATGTAACTAACACTATTTTCTGTTCAAGTAGAGGTTTACATACATACATACATATCTGTCACGCCTGTCCCCAATTATCTACCAGAAGGAGACTTTGTACAAAAGTCAATTGCTTGGGTACCTCTGTCCCATTCGTGTTTCTACCGTGAAGCAGCTGTGTGTGCATGGCTGTGTTTCGGTTTGAAGGGTGGGATATGGCGTGAATTTAAAGAGTACAGAGGAATAACATCTGAGTCGTCAGGAATAGCAACGCATGGGAGGTATCGTGGGCGAAACAGTATACTCTGTTATGTCTATGGTACCGCCTATGTTTATAAGCGACGGTTACCACTTCGCATCAGGTGGGCCGTCAGCAACAAAAATGTTCAAGCAAACATATGATTACTATTTTACAAAGGCAAAACGAAGCGTTCGACATTTCGACAGTTTTCATAAACGACAAACGTGGTAAATTCGTAAATTTCTCGTCCTACGCACATACACCTATATATACAGGGGTTTTTTTTTGATGGGTGAAAATGGTAAGGTAACCCCGTCTGCGCTAACGGGATACGCTGGCGAAGCACCAGTGAAGGGTGATAGATGAGAATGAAAACAGGTCAGTTAGCCCATCATGATGAGTCCATCAGGAATTAACCATGATAGTTTCCAGGGAGAACCGCGAGGAGGTCGACCTGGTTGGGTATATTGCTAGCAATGGGATTCTCAGTCTCCATTACTAACAATCCCTTTCCCCCCGAGTCAGACAGATTAATTGCTAGCAATAAATCGGACTGGCCCCTTAGAAACCATCGTGGTTAATTATAGTTGAATTCGTCACGAAGGGCCAGCTGACCTGGTCCTGTCCTAAACTGTCTGTTAGATTACATTTCTAACAATCCCTTTCCCCCCTAAGTAGGCAACTAACATTGTATTCTTGTGATATTCTAGAAATTTTGTCTCTGTTTGTTTGTATGTTTGTTCAGGTATCACACAATAACTATTGTACCAAAGAGAACCGCGAGGAGATCGACCTAGTTGAGTATATTGCTAGCAATGGGATTCTCAGTCTCCATTACTAACAATCCCTTTCCCCCATTTATACAGGGGTTTGTTAGTAATGCTATAATACTATACTAGTAGCATTCTCTGTCTGTCTATATGTGCATCAAATTGATTTAAATAGGTTTAGCCTTTTAAACGTTTAGTGAAAAACGTTTATCTATACGTCCTCATAAATGTTTATATTTATAATTATTATGCAGTAGGATAAGGACCTCTTCCTTTCCTGTGGATGTTGTAAGAAACGAGTATAGGAATTTAATATTGGAAGGACGGGCAGCAGCGTCTGTCTTAAAACATCACCAAAGCCTAGCTGCGGTTGCTAACCCGCCTACCAAGCGTGGCAACTAAGGGCAAAACAGACAAACCTTTATAGAAAAGCCTATGTTCAATAGTGGACAGATTATGATATGTAAATGATGATGCGATAGAATTAAAGGTCACTTAATTTCGAAGCAAATTTTCTTACATAGAATCATTTGTCACCACTTATTTATTTAGAGCAGGGGTGGGCAAATATTTTGATAGTCGGGCCACGTTGCAGATGAAAATTTGACCCCGGGCCAAACAGTTTTTTTTTTTCTAATTTTAATTTTAATTGTTGCTATGGATGTCAATTAATGAATTTTAAGACCAACATTTTTTAAACAAAATTTATCAAGTCATTTGAATAAAAAAATTGAAAAGAAAATTTTTAATCATTAATATCAGATAATTATCAAACTGTACAATTATCATACAAAGGTGTTATTAAAAGTATTACCACTATTATCTATGCTTAATAGATTGAGTCGCAAAAAACATGAAAAACAAATGCTGGCAACACTGTGGTGATTTACATAAACTATTAATTTGACAGAATGTTTTCTTAAATTTTGGCTTCCACCGGCCCTGATAATGTATATAAGTATTGCTTAATATTTTATCTAAAATTTTTTATGCACCAATTTATGTTAGACAAAAACTAATATTCGTGTTTTTAATAATAATATATACAATGCTTCAGTGGCCGGACAAAATTTTACCGCCGCCGGATTCGGCCCGTAGGCCGCCATTTGCCCAGGTCTGATTTAGAGGCTTAGAGCAAATAAGTTCCCGCCTACCTATCTATATACACTATCATTCAACCAGTAAAGTACACGCCAAAAATAGAAGGAGTTTTGTAAATTCACCTTATTTGAAGTTGTAGACTTTAATAGCATTTTTTAATGTGCAAGTTTTAAATATAATGATTATTTTTTTACATTTGTCTTATTACAATTTAGTAACAATTTCTTAATGGTCGATAGATGAGCAGCACGATCCCTTTTCAAATATCACCAAAAGCCTAACTGCGGTTGCCAACTCGCCTGCCAAACTTGGCAACTATTGGAAAACCTTTTCTTATGGAGGAGGCCTATGTTCAGCAATGAACAGTTAATGACTGAAATGAGGATGATGAACAATTACTTCAGAACTATGACTTATTTTTTTAATAAAAATGCTTGTTTGCTAATAAGCAAATAAAAATAATAAATGAATTTTAGAGATATATTAATTGTGAGTTGTATATAGTTACTTGTTTTTTTTTTTGTTACTGAAATTGTTACTATTATTAATTCATTATTTGTATGTGACTTTATTTATATGTAAAATAGTTACATGTTTATGGTTTTGCACTTATACTGTCTTATACTCCTATTATACTCGACACAATGTAATATTGTTATAGAATAAATTGAATTGAATTGAAAAAAGTAGGTATATCTATTTTAATTTATTGACGTGTACTTTTATTGTGGAATGCTACTCTCTTAGTTTGATTTAAAACTATAAATAAAAATCTTCAAGACATTTATCTAAACAGTACGAAATTTATCTACATTAAACAAAAGGCCTTTTTTATATATAATACCTATTAAAAAAAAATGTAGTTGATTAAAAAAGGATCTCTTTAAAAATCAATGATTTTTGCTATAAAAATATCGTAAGAACACATCTTACTTATCGCTCAGTAGCTAGGTACAGCGACTGATAACGTGATTCTGTTCTATAAATAAATCACAGCTCCCGCGTCGGCCGCTAAGATGTAAGTATTGTATTATTGGAACACGTGAATAGTATTATAGAAAACCCCCCTTTCTTTTATTTCACCTGTATTCTGAGACGGACAAAAAGCGTCCTTGATTCTATTGTTAAGGGTTTGCGCGCCAAGTGACTGCCAAAATCGTCGCATGCATAAGCGCGGGAAAACGGCAGCGTCAGTCGTAATCGGCATGGACGCACGCGCGGACGTAACCACGCTATCGTTTATAGGTTAGAATTGGCGCGATTCCGTCCATCCGCCAGGTGTACTCGCTATTGGCTTTCTCCCTCTCGCATACTACTCACTGTATCCTCCCTCTCGCTCGCTACCTGCGCCCAACAGCTGTTTTCTCGGGAGATTAGTCAGATGTTTCTCGCGAACCAGTCGTAGCTCACCTGACGCGTTAGTTATACTGACATGGCCGAAGGACGTACACCAAAGCAGAGGAGATTCGAGATGGCTGTACCACTGAGGAACGTCTCCAATACTCCAAGGAGAAGACGAGGAAGCTGCAAGTGTTTATTCGGAGCTCCAGACCGAGATGAGACAAAACGGCTAGTTGCTGAACAGTACGCGAGAGATCGGAAACGATTTATCAGGCGATTCAACTTCGATATAGACACGCAATGTGCGTACAAAGCCGCCAAATTGGACTCTCCAGTCAAGTTTTGCGAGGAAGATAAAGAAAACGCCGAAAGTCCTGTCAGAAGCGGTGCTGCTGTTTTAACGTGCGTTGGGAACACGGGCCTGAGGTCGCCATCACGGCGTAGCCCTGGAAGTCCTGGTAGCTCTCCCCGCACGCCCCGCACTCCCCGCACACCGAGAGCATCTCGCACACCCGTCACTCCGCGCACCCCCGCATCCAGGAGACAGCTGCAGATGACAGGTCAGTACATAAATGACATACCTACATAATTTAAAAGAAAATTTGTTTTTAGCCCAATCCTGTCATAAATTAGTAATAGGTATAAATTAGTAGCTTCACTGCAACAGACACCTTGAACTTTAACCATTAACTACCTATTTTATAGTCTTCCTATTTAACATAAAAGCACAATACGATGTCATAAATATTCATTACTCATGTAAAGTACAAGAAACGTTGTTAAATTTTATGGGCCTAGCTGGCCACAATCGTTCACTTAGATATTTGCTCAAATGCACAATGCCTATGAAAACTAGGCCAGCTAGCCTTATCGGGAACAACTTGTTCAAACATCTCGAAAGCCAATAAAAAGTGTTCTTATATTTTAAGTTACACCTGCGTAAAGTATGTATGAACTCTCAGGTTATATTCGTGCAAGCTCACGAATATGGATTCATGTATGTATAAACTTGTATAGACAAGATCTAAGTAATTATGAAATTAGAGAATCAATTGAAATCATTTTCAAGCAAATTGGTGATCACAAATTTGTATTCGAAAAAGAACATTTGAAACCCAGATTTAAGAAGACCAGTCAAAGAACAGTACTTAAAATATTAATACGAATAAAATTTATTATATTCCGAAAGTAAGTTATAGAAAACTGAGATAATGCAATTGAAATTAAGCAGAATATGTTATTCAGTAATATAAACTTATAAAATAAGAAATGAACAAAATAGAAAAAAAGTGCCAGTTTTGCCAACCATCAACCGGTTAATTTTTTTTTTTTTCATTTTAAAGTTGTTACACATACTCTTTTAAATTGATAAATAGGTAAAAAGTAGATACTTATCTGTACATACATCATCTATGATACATAGTAAAATAACTTTATAATTATAGGTACATAATACATATTCTTTCTTACTGAGTACCTTTCCATAATAATCATTTATATTCATATTTTTTATTGACGTATAAAAATATGAATTTAATGATACTGTTCAAGTATTTATATGTACCTACTTATATTGTAATCAGTATAATTTTGTCTCGTGTTTCCTTTAGTGGTATAAGGTGTTGCAGCAGTAGCAAATCCATAAAAAATGTATCAGAAAAACTTTATATTTATTGCTGTCTAGCTATTAACTTCTTCACACTATTTCAGAGGTGATAAACATTTTATGCTGAACGCTAAGAAAATTAATTCGCTTTTACTTATTGCCTAGTGATGTAGCAAAAGCATGTTACATTGAAAAATATCATGTACAATTTTATTAAACACAGTTATGTCAATTATCATAGTTTAGTCTCATAACATGTGATAAATTATTTCTTATCACATGTTATGTAACTGGTGATAAGTTGACATTACACTTATTACATTATTATCTTTTGAGCATACGCCTTAAATTGTTTTGTTTGTTTTTTGTAATTCTTCAATTTTATACAATAACACTCAGGAAGGTTGATTTCGGTATAAACGAAAATTAATATTGACGTTAAACTTGAAATAAACTAAAAAAAAAACTCATTCTACTAATATTATGAAATTAAATAACTAGACTACGTCTGTATGGGAGTTATTAAAAAAAAAAATAAGGTGTCTCAATAAGAGTAGATGCCAAATCAATCATTTTTAGAATTTTTGTTTATCAGTCTTTCTTTCTTTTGTTATATAACTTAGAATGACAAACAAGCTGACGGCCCACCTGATGGAAAGTGGTAACCGTCGCCTATAGTCATTAGCAGTACCATGGACATAATAGAGTATACTGTTTCGCCCATGACACGCCCCATGCGTTGCCATTCCTGAAAACTCGAGTCTTATTCCTCTGTACCCTGTACATTCACTCCATGTCCCACCGTCCAAAATCAAGCAACACGACTGCTTCACGGTAGAAACACGATTGGGACAGAGGTGCTCAAGCAAACGACTTTTGTACAAAGTCTCTCTGATCTTTATATTTGTTCCGGCATCACGCAAAAACTATTGCACGAAATTAAACAGAGTTTCTAGTTATATTCCAGAAGCTCTAACATATAAATTTATGTTGTATCACGATATACTATCTGGAAATAGTCTCTTTCAGAAGTCCCTGCTTCTGAAATCCACGCGTACAAACTACCAAGCAAAACATTAGCACTTAATGTAAAAATACGTATGGTATACATATCAAAATCTGTACCATGTAAATGCATTTATTTATAAGCCTTTAAGTGTTAACATTGTAAACGATATGTACTATATAAATTAGTTCCCCAAAATATGATTAACAAACTCACCATCCCAGACCAAATCCATTGGCTCATGGTTTTTGAGGTCATTGTCCGGTTACGTCATCTAAGGTCCAAGTTTTTGCTTTGCTTCACCGAGTTCCTTCCTCCGTACATTTGTAACTAATGCGCACCGGTAAATTGAACTTTATTCTCTTAACCTTATAATCTATTACGGCGTACCTGAGTAAAAATTTTATATTGCTTGTAAAGAGTTTATAGTCGAAACTCTAAAATAAAAACGCAACAATGAATCATTCTGATGTATAATTAACTTTGACTGCTTCTGCAGTTTTTCGTTTGTTATTTATCTCGTAATATGTTCAGTAAATAAATCTCCATGCGAAATTATAATCATAAAAACCAGTGCCAACAAAAATCGCAATATCTTAATAGCACGGGATAAATACGAGCACACATAATTTAACATAAAATTTTCCATTTTTTTTATGCAACTTAGAAAGAAAAAACAAGCTGACAGTGCACGTGATGGAAGTGGTGACTATCGCTTATAAACTTAGACAGTACCATGGACATAACAGAGTATACTGTATTGCCCATGATACCCCTCATGCTTTGCCATTCCTGAGGACTAATGTGTTATACCTCTTTACCCTATAATTTCATTGCCATATCCCACCCTTCAAACCGAAACACAGCCATTCAAACAACTGCTTCATGGTAAAAACACAAATAGGACAGAAATACCCGAAGATGAATTTTGTACAAAATCTCCCTCTGGTAAAATAAAAGATTCGTATAAATAATTTTATGGGTATTTTCTTATTCATGTATATGATTACGACTTTTTTTTTACAAATTATGATAAGATATGCAAATATTTATCAAGTTACTTTTAACATGGCTTACCTTTTTCATAAAATCTAATTTTATATTTTGGGACATTTTATCTATATACTTTTATTACCTGACAAACCAGTCGTTTGTACCAATCGATCGTAAACTCTTCAGGTATTGTTTCCGTACACGTTATCTAGTTTTAAAAAAATTTACAAAAAAAAAATAAGCTTTAGAAACTGTAACGGAGATATTGCAAGTGTCGCTCTTAAAAATTGAAAGTTAAGATTAACAATGACTTAAACGTAGTTGTATTCTTATCAGCTTTCTCAGTATTGTTAGGGGATAAGAAGGTATGGTTGGCCTTTATTGTTAGTAATATACCCTATCAGATAGACTTTCACGTGGCCTTCCCTGGAAAATATCACCGTTCATTCCGGATGAATTCATCACGATGGACTAACTGGTTTTCATTCAGCATACCCCGCCAGTTTATATTAAAAAAGCAGTATTGTTTGGGCCTATGTGGAGCTCTACAGTACAGCAAATATTACCATCAAAATTAATGACCACACACGTGACCACTAAGCTAACAACATACAGAGTTCCATCCCACAGTTTAATGATCATGCTTAAGTAAGCATGATCATAAGTAATGTGTTGGTATAAGTATACCAACATATTATATACACTAGCATTACATAATAGTATCATACTATGTACACTGATAATTTCCATAATATGTAATGTTCATATAATCTAAGTGTTCAGTATTTACTCACGATAACCCACTAGGTAGGTTAAATTCCATAAAATTAGATACAAAAATTTAATACACGCTCGAGTATGTACCCGGGCGTGCCCACTTGACCTGAATATCATTGCAAAATTTACTTTCGTGGTAAATGACGCATGCTATTAACTATTTACTTTAAATAAATAAGAAATAAAGAATAAATTACTATAGTAATTTATTATAATATGTAAAATACAATCTACTGAATTGTTGTTATTCAAATAAAAAATATCATCAGCAAATTGAGATTTGGATTTACTTCTAAATTATAAATCTTTAATTTTTTTTTAATATAAAACTATACATAGGTTCTTTGTTGTCAAATAATTTATTTTAAAAGCTTTTTTTTTTTGCAAAAGTTATTGTCGTCTCTCATAAATTGCTAAGATATTTTATGGCTATTGTTCACCCATAACGATACATAATCATATGCCTAAAATCTTTTTTTATTTAGTCAATGAACCATAAATTAATTTAATTTAATTCGGAACATGCTAATGTCACATGTCTTTTATTTTAAATTTTATATTGAGAGAATTCGACGTTCCTAATTCGGTTGGTCTTTTTTTGTTTATGTTAAACAATATCTTGCCCGATTATGAATCTTTTTTTTTTTGTAATTAGATGGTTCTTGTAATAATTTGTTAAGAATTAATGTATTTTTTTTTTTTATCAAAATGAATAATTACTACAACGCATTTATGGATTTTTTTAAGACAAGCAACAAAACTAAAAATACATAGATATAAAGAAAAAAAAATATCTATGTATCTTTAGTTATGTACTTCATTTATTTACATAATCCAGCCATATGTGTGACTGATTTGATATGTGTTTATTTATTGAATACCATACAAGCGATAATTTTAGCATTTTTGAGAATACGTTTTTAGTTTATTTACACACTACTGTATAAGTGTTAGGTATATTTACATTATGAATAATTACATTAGTGTAGCATAGTTATTATAGAAACACCAGCAAATATATTTTGCACTTTAAATAATATTATTTTTTATATAATTAAAAATTTTCTATTATTATTAGACTTTATCAATGAGAATATTTTTCGAAATTGATTAAAATGTCGTGTTAAAAATAAAAGTGAGTAATGTAAAACTATATTGAATGAATGAATAAATGAGTA